GGGGTCGTCCTGCCGCTTCCCGCCTGCGCTACACGACCTAACCCCCGCACTCCTCGCTCCACACTCACCATGTCCAGGTTCCGGGGTGTCCTGGTGTCCTCACTAAGGGCCGCGCAGTCCTCAGAGTCCAAACGGTGACGCTCAAACACGGAACCGGTCTCAAACAACGGAGTGCTGGGGGGGGGGGAAGTTTCGCGCAGCCCCGTACCACTCTCGGAAGAACAGCGCCTCTCATTGGACGGTTACGTCACCTCAACCCTGATATGTGATTGGTTAGTGATTGTGGACCTTCCCCCTGATCATTGATTGACGGGAGACGCCAGGGCTCATCTCTTTCCGTGGGGATTGAAGAGAGTTCCAGCCACTTCCTTTCCCAGCCCAAGCTTTCTTCCCTAAAGCCCGGCTGCCGCGGAGCGGAGGGATTAAAGTCTTTTTTTAATCATCTTTTAAGAGGTCTAACCTAAGCCCCTGCTGACTTATTTACTGGTTAAACACTTTTGTCTCCTCAAAGCAGTACCATCACTCAGGACAAGTTATTGATAAATTGTGGAATTTCAAACAAAGAAAAGTTGAGAATTCAAAGCCACAACAGACATTAAATGCATTTGATAGAATGTGATTGTTGGCCCGGTTGTGCCCGGATTTCGGATCCCCAAAGACCACCAAGGAGTCTGGTCGATGCAATCACAGGAGCTTATTGCAAGCTCCAGCCTGGACTCTCAATTCTCACCAACGCAGTGGCTTCTGACCCAGAGCCCGCACCCCCTTACAAAGCATGATTTTATAGGGTTAGGGAGACTTGAAATTCTCTCTATCCTATTGGCCTCTTTTCTAATACTTTAAATCTATTGGATGTTGCTGGGGTGTTTGCAAAAGCGGGAAGAAACGTTAGGTCTGGGGAGGGGGAGTTTGGGGGGGGGTCAGTGCTGCTTCTTGGCCGGGGAGTGGTGTTTTTCTTTTATCTGCACAGAACATCCTGTTTTTCTTCTTTTCAAGGTTGGAGTGTTGTTCCTAAATTGCGAAATCCCCGAAAGAAGACCACCAAGACGTCTCTTCTGATGCAAACACAGGAGGAGTTTATTGTAAGCTCGAGCCTGGACCTCCAGTGGCACCTTCACAGGAGCTTCCAACTGAAGGCCCCGACCCATTTTCAAGACATGCTTATATAGGGCTGAGGATTGATACTATTTTTAACTTTCCATTATTAAGGATTATTATTGAGACACTGAGGGGAAATATCTCATTCTCATGAGGGGAATTACCTGATACTCATGAGGTGCTCAGCGGGGGGCACTCTATTTCTATTTTTTAAGGAACACTTTATGTGATTATACAATGAGCCAAACTCTCTATCCTCAGCAAAGCCTATAATATCTCTAACTTATTCATTACTAGGCAACTATCGGGGAGGAGATAAGTTCTCTTCTTGGATCAGAAGAAGAGGAACAGAAAAACAGGGAGGAGGTTGTTATAGCCCTTTGCCCAGAAAACTTCTGAGCAAAGGTCAAAGAGGGAGACCACCACCTCGATCAGAAAACTTGGTTCTCCCAGGAGTGGCTTTTCTCCTACCCATCTGGTTTTGCTCTTATCTCAACTAAGCAAACTAAGCAAATTTCTGTTGCCTGAGCTCATCCGGGGGTCAAGCCTGACACCAGATGGCTTTCCTGCTTAAAATGGAGTAACTTTGGGCTTCACAGCCTGACTCCAGTTTTTTAAATTTCGTTTTCCTTAAATTGTTTTATTTTACGGTTCTACAAGTAAATATTAAAGAGGAAAATGTAAAGGGCACTCTTTGCTAAAAACAATTTTTTTTCATAACAGAATAATTAGAGAATAACAATAGCTAAAAGAATTGCCAAAACTTTACCCAAAGTACATGTCTTAGATGAAAAAAAAAAAAAAATTCTTGCAATGGGGCCGGGGATTTAGCTCAGTGGCACCATGCCTGCCTTGTAAGTGCAAGGTCCTGAGTTCAATCCCCAGTACCAATAAATAAATAAATGGGAAGAAAAAAATTGTTTAGCAAGTGCTTTCTGCATGCACAGATTTTGGAATCCTTATACTGACCTCATGGGGTGCAGTTGTGTTTGGCCTCCAGGTTCCAATTGACTGGACAAGATTTGTTAGGGTAAACTCAGGCATGCCTGAGACCCCCAGAACAGGCGAAGATGAAGCAAAGCTAGTCAAGGGCCACAAAGCTATTAACCCAGAGGGCTTGGGTGAGGGGGAACTTTATAGGGGAATTTGAGTAGGGGAGGAGTAGCGCCAGGAGGAATGGGAAATTTTTGTCTTGGAGTGGAGAAAGTCTTTTGTTCTGGGGTGGAAATCTGGTGATCAGGGGTATCTGGACCCGCAGATGTTGCTGCATGGGGCAGGCTGTTTATATTGTCTTCCTGTTATCCTTTGAGCCATGCAGGTTGTGTAACTGCCTTGCCTGGAAAGTTTTTCTCTTCTGCCTAGCTGGGGATCTGACAAGATTAGTAATGTGCAAGGTAACACAGCTTGAGGTGGGTGGAAATGCAGTATGTCTTCAGCTAGGGCACTGGTTCCCTGCAGTAAGCTGTTTCTCTTCCTGGGAGGCTTTATTTTCCTTAGTTTATACTACCTCAGGCAGTGGCTGTGCCCTAGATGTCCTTCTGCTGTCCAATTCACACTCCCAGGGCCTGGGATGTAGTTCAGTGGTTCTGCCACCCACTTCCCAAGTTCAATCCCCTGCACCCCCCCAAAAAAAAATCACACTCGCAGATGGCTGCTTTCTCAAACGTCATTTGTGGCAGTAGTGACTGTTATGCCCGAGGACATGGCATAGCCTGTCCCCCACACACACCAGCTTGCCCAGGAAGGAAACTTTACTGCATTGGGAAGAGCTGTTACAGGCAAACTTGGCTCCTGAGGGAAAAAGGACAACACATCCCAGCCCCTGACTCCAAGAAATATCTGCACAGCCACCTGGTCCAAGTGTACAGACCGCCCTAGCTTTGCCCCAGCCTTCTCTAGGCAATTCATCTTCTGACCAATGCCTGGCAGCACCCGGCAACCACTTCTCTACCTAAGTCTATGCTCTCCCCCATTCTACACTGGTTCTGCTCAGAGCCAGTCTGCATGTTTGCCTGTGCTGAATAAAAACAACTTCATTTATTTACCTAATGCAGGCCTGAGTGGTTTCTCTACTGTCCATGTCTTCATTACAGTGACTTTTTAAAGTTCCAACTAAAACAGGTGTGTAGTCACTGGAGACAATAAACTTTCACTTAATTTTCTTGTGGCTGGTTATTTTGTTGGTTTTCCAATAGGAGAAGATAATTCCTGACCTGTGAGATGTCAAATGTGCCCAGTTCATGGTCCCCCAACATCAACAAATGAAGTTATTATAGATAGATGAGCTAAGTAAAAATATTATAGGCAGTCAGATAGGGCTAAGTCCTCAAGAGGGCCAGGATGAAGGTGAAACACACCACAGCTGCACGTCAGCTGAAAACCAGGCCTCAAGATGGAGACAAGATGACCAGGACCACACACTTCTTCAAAGAACTGGGCTTAGTGAAGTACAGATAGGCATCAACCACCCTGAGGGTGACCAGAGTCCTCTGGACCCTCTGCCTCCTAGGAGAACCCTTGTTCTTTCCCTCCACACGTAATTACTGCGTGACTTGCTTTCCAGGTAGACCACCATTACCTACGTGACTAGACTTGTAACCTTATTGAATGTTTGTGGCTGTGGCCTACGTTACACCCACATGGGTTTCACCCTATAAAACTCTCTGTAAAGTGGGGTCCTTGGACTACCGACTCGGTACCCCTCCTGTACCTCACGAGCTTTGCTGTCCACAAATATTCTCCTACTTTTAACCTCCATCCTTCCTAGGACAAGAACTCAGCGTATCATACAGTTAACTGGGAGATATAATATTTCATATTTCATATTTCCCATGACAAAGTCATGACCCAAAAGAAGTTAGGAGAGTTTTATTGGAACTAAGGAGAGAAGAGTAGCGCCTGAATTTCTAGGAGGGGTTCCCGAATGGGGTGACCACTGAGAATTTTTGTCAGGGGTGATTTATACAGCAAGGACACATCAAGGGTACAATGTGGGCCAAACTGTAGGATTTATAACTATAGCCACTTAGTTAATATTGATCCAATAGAGAAATGGGCCATGTAGCAAGGGTACATGTAAACAGCAAAGGCATTTTTGGCAAAGAATGGGTCCAGGTGCTCTGGTCACCTACCTGAGTGACTAATGCCTGTCTGGACTCACTAGATCAGGTGGGCTAATTACGATGTAACCTTAAATTACTGCTTATCACATAGGAAGGCACGTAGGCTTGGCAGTTGCATCTTTATCTTGAGGCCTGGCTTTCTTCAGATGTGCCTGAAGCCACAATTCTGATGCCTTTATTTTTGTACTGAATTCCTTGAGAGATCAGTCCTGTTCTGACTACATGTTAATTTCTTAGCTGCCTATAATAGTTTCCCACAGATTATTTCTGACCCAGCAGGCAGTAAATCTAAATTCCTGGGTACTCCATCACATTGCCACATTTTGGCCTCAGGTCCCTGAAATAATAAAGAACCTATCCCATCCTTTTAAAATAAGCTTGCAGGGTGGGGAATTGGCTCAGTAGTTCTGTCACCTGCCTCACAAATGCAAGGGCCTGAGTTCAAAAATAAATAGATAAAATAACATAATCTTTCAGAGCCAAGTGCGGTGGTACACACCTGTCATCTCAGCATTTGGGAGGCTGAGGCAGAGGAATTGAGGTGAGTTGGAGACACCAGCCACCAGGCCTGGCTCCACAGGTTTACGTGACAAAGAGGGAAGAAATGAGACCACCCAAACAGGCTAGTGAAAGGCAACAAGGCAGGTTTATTCACCCGGGTGCAGGCCAACTGCAGGCAACAAAGGCTCCAGTGCCAAACAAAGAAAAGGCAGGGGGCTGTCACATACAGGGAAGGGGTCTGTCACATACTGGGGTCAGAGCAAATATTGGTGGTCCGAGTTCACACAGCAGTTGAGGCAGAGGCTTTCATGCATGTGATCAGGAACCTTGGTGCCAGGGCAGTGCTGCACTGTGCTGTGCTGTACTTTGTGGTTTCTCTCCTTGTAACATTCCATTCTGTGTTGTATCTGCCTGGAGACAGCATGGTTTATATTCTGGCTTCTGAGCACTGGGGAACAGCATGTTCTGCTAA